GCACAGTCGCTGTACGAGTGCGGTAAGGATGCTGCACGAGTGACGCACGGGGAGCATTTTTCTGCACCCCAAAATAGCATTTTAAACTCTGCTGCGTTTTACGGTATATCTTTTTTAAAAGAAATATAATTTAAAAACATGTGAATTAATGATTTAAATTGTTATAAATAGTTTTTTTTTAATATAATAAAGAATATTTAAATTAGATTGTTCTTTAATAAAGAACTTATCTTTTAAATCACAAGATATTAAAAAACGTTTTCCACCAGGCGCAAATAAAATTAATAAACAGCCATCAGCATCGATACTTTTCCACAGCCACCAGAGTTACCGAGATGGTTCACATGAAGGTGAAGGCGGTGGTAATGAACTAGATATGACACAAAGTAGCTTCGAGACTTAGGAGCCCGGTTCACGTGATATGCGGTCATTCTCTCACTATTGGACATGAATCCTCACAGGCTAGATCTAATCATCGCGATTGGTCTTTACTACACCTCATTAATAATAACTTTTCTTTAAGTAATTCATCGTTTCCTGAATTTTTATTTAATCTATTGTTCGGATCCTTTGCATTGAACCAATGGAAATTCGGTCAATTAGATTTATTTGGGAAATCACTGGACCAATATTCCTCATTACAATCTTTCATATTCTTAATTGCCGTTGGGATTTATGCGTTCTCAAAATTTTCTAGATCCATAAAATGTTCCAAAAGACGCGGCGAGGGATCAGAAAAAACCGGAAAAATACATTACGGAGGACCATTTCAGATCGTTTACTTATTCAAGAATTTTTTCAGTTCGAATGACTCGCGTGATACGTATTATGATTCTCTCAACTATCCCAATTTATAGGACTATTGGATTACTTCTTAATTATCTTTCACGGGGAGTAATGAAGTTACGGAGATTGGTGCTTCAAACGCAGTTGCTAAGTCCGCGTACAAAGTTACTATTGCAGCTGGTTATTGTTAGCGATATTAAATATATAGTTCAATGGGTGATAGATATTTGGTGGATAGGAAGTGGTGAGATAATTATTTATGAGATCATCAGAAATAACTTATGTTGCGGCGGGAACAGGATATCCAAAAATTAAGTGGAATATTAGATAGGAATATGCCATTCACTTCAACCCCAAAAGCACCGCTGATAAAGTCTACACAGTATCGGTGGCAATGACCAGATCACCAACCGTGGTAAAAACATCAACGGGCATAACTGCCTCACCAACGGCGCCAAGATCGATTAGTCCTTCGAAGCCCTCATCGAGAAATAGTAGTCCCGCTTCCCCGAGGCCAAGCTCGCTGGCTAATCTTTCCACCTCCTCCCTGTCAAGGTCACTGCAACCGTCCACGGTATCAACTGCTAGTCCATCACAATCGAGGTCCGCCCTGGACGAGTGAACCTCCTACTACATCCTCTAGGACGCATTATGACCTTAGCCCGTCTCGACCTCTAGTTGTATATCTTACAGAGACTGCTACTTATTATAGCACACCATCAGCCGGAATCGTGGAAAGAAATGAGATAACTCAAGAAGTGATATATGGCGAGAATGATTTTGAGGGTCAAAATTTAGGCACGGGAAATGTTGGGGAATCAACGTATGATAGCAACTGTGAAGGACAAGGGTAAACACGTGAAGGTGGTGGGGATAATGTGGAAAGGCAAGAATACACACGCGACAATGGAGACAGGAATTAGTAAATAGCGGTGATGTTGATGAAGGGCGCCCATCTAGTGGTAATTATGTTGTAGGAAGAAGGGAATTAAACACTCCGAATGAAAGTCAACGATTATTACTCACAGAACAAGCACTATATAGAGACAATCCTGTCTTAGGAGTACAAGTAGCAATAAAGCTCGCAGGAGTCGAAGAAATGATAGCGAAGAAAGTCTTGAGAGGGGAAGATCAAGATAAATTATCAATTACTCAGTGGAGGAGATTATGCATAACATTCGTTATTCTGAGTTTTTTGGAAATGAAAATGTCTCTTAAGTTCGTTTTCCCTCATATGCTTTGATTATTATTTTTTTTCTGTGTCATTATGTTATATTTCATCGCCAAGACAAAATTCACAAAAATGTATTCAGACACTATTTTTATTTACATAAAAATCATATGGTTATAAGAGAGAATCACAAGTGTATTTTGATCAAAAAATTGAGATGCATTGAAATACTTTAAAAGTCCGATTCGAAAATTTTTTTTTCTCGCATAATTTGAGATTAGTAACTGCTCTATATTCAGCGCCTCTGTCCAAATCATTGGATTGATCGATTCAACGTACGCGAATTTCGGGTCTGATTTTCTTAACACTAATTAGTCATAAATAAGTATTATTATGAACAAAAGTTGTGAAGTAGTAGGAATAATATAATTACGCTTGATTGTGTATGAAACAATGGAATCAACTTATGGATGGGATAACCGGTCATTTAGTAAAAAAAAATACGTTCTGATACACGAGCTTGGTGTCTTAAGATATTTTATTGAATACTGTATAAGCTATCAGATATGCAAGTAATGAAAACTTGACGTAACTTGTCGAATGTGTTATATACCCATCCAATATGAATAAATAAAGTTAGTCTTTACTATGCATATCGTATCTCATATAGGTTCAAGTCCCAAAGTCAGGATCCTCCGTTAAATATTTGAGCAAGATATTTTGCGTCCCGATCCATTTCCAACTCGCACGAATCACATTTAAACGTTTTTGATCCACAGGAGATCATTTTTTACGAATCCATAATTCCCACACGTCTTTGATGGTATACTCTTCGATGCATTCAATAACTCTGCAATCTCTGAACTCCCTCGATTTATGATGTAAGAACATTCGAACCTGAAATGCGACAAAGTTAGCATCGCACGAGCAGTCTATGACCGAATCTTTCGCTTGTTCTTCAAAATTTTTACATAACTAACGAGCTAGCTGATGATGGCACCCATCGATTAAATTACGAATTCGTCGTATGATTCGTGGCATCTTTTTCCTCAATCGGAATCTCTTCTCTAGTTTGTTATTCCCAAAGCAAGTCATATTTCTTAATAATCTAAATAATTATTAAAATCATCGTTACCCCACTCGATTAATTGACCGTCAGGGTCATAACCGGTCATAAACGTGTGAACACCTGAATCGAGCAAGATTAACTTTTTTCCGAATATCATGGTTATCAATGTTATCCCAAAAAACGGAAACAAATAAGTAAAAATGTCCCAGATTATTCATAGTTATATTAACCGTATTATAAGGTGATAATATTTTTTAGGAACGCATATTTCCCTCTGTTCCTATTCTAATTCCTAGCAAGAATCGAGATGGTTTGTGTTCGATCCTTTTCGATCGGTACTTCATTCGAAAATTATTTTCATGCAACTTCTTTTACTTCCTTAGTACCCAGGAGTTCTTCAGTTGTGAAGCATTCATCGTTCAGGTAATGCTTCGTATAACGCTTATGTCGGTGATTCCATCGTCCTGCACCATCTTAAGAACCTTGTTGTACGTCCATCTTACAGTTCCCATCCACTTTCTTAGTTTTTCTCTTTCTTCAGGCGTTAGGTAAATCCGTATATTTTCGTGTTTTAATCTTTCTTTGTCATTTTCGCTATCTAGTTGATCTGATCCCATTGTGTCTTGCCATGAAGATAGTAACGATTGATAATATCCGAATTCAGTGTCATTAACGTTGACGTCCGAACCGAGTACCACGATCTTTGTACTGTTCTTGCCAAGAATCCATTCGATAAGCTCGTACGCAATTTTGCAGAGCCGATCTTTCCTGGTAATCACAACCTTCTCGATATCTCAGTACGATCGTTCCAAATGATGTGAAACAGTTGAGACCTGACCCGATGTTCTGATGAGTTCGCACGTTGCCTGTCAAGTTCTTCTTTTTGTTCTCTGAGCTGACCTTTGCGTAATAAAAATTTTATTTTTCTGATCATTTGTGCTTCACGATACTTTTTTGTTGACATTATCTTGCTCAAACGTACGAGAACAGGACTTACAGTATTTATACTCTATAAAGAATATTGTATCATCGTAGTTTAATTCAAAATTTTTTTGCCATCAATAATCAGGTAATACGAAATAATTAATATATTAATATTGTGTAATTAAGTTTTTGGAATTTAATCTGTACATAGGTTACTAACCGAAATTAGATAAAAACATACCACAAAAAATTTACATTTAAAGAAATAGATTTTCGACGAACTCACGGATTCTTGGTCCCCTCGGCATCGTCTACCGAAGTTGAAATAACAACAACCATCACCCTTCACGACTATCGTCAGTTGATATTATATTATTGAAACAAGGGTGTACGCACCGCAAAAGAAATACAATAATCTAATTCTTAAATAAGCAAAAAACAATTCTTTTTCAACCAAAAATTTTTAAATTATTATAGTTGAAGGAGAAAACTTCGTAATGGCATTAAATTTTTTGTGCACATACATCATTGTCTCATATATAATAGGGTCTTATTTTTCTAAAGTCTCTTCAGCTAACGTTGAATTCTAACGTTACACATCGCTTGGAGTCCCTTTTTTGCAATAAAAAAAGTTTTTTGTGAAACAAAGAAATTAAAAAAAAGAATGCGTAAATAATTATTTACCTCAAAAATACCAAACATGAACACTAGTGTGATGTGACACTTACTGTACATTCGGAAAATGTGTAGATAAGCCTTATTTATTTACTTTCTTGGTCAGTCGCTTCAGCCTAAATGCACATTAGATACGTTATTTTACATTTTTGTACATATGTAATAGAACCTTATTTTTGAATGATATTTTAAAGTGTTTCGAACCAGAAAAATCTATTATCTACATCAAACGCCTCTTCCCTTTTTGTAAAAAATAAGAAATAAAAAAGATTATTTAATTACAGATGAATGCGTAACGGTCCATCAAGCTTTTACTAAAATACTAAAGTGTTTGAAAATGCCTATACTCAATTACAGAAATGGTAAGAAGCACTTGGGAAATGCTAGAAAACAAAACCTTCCAAGGGAAGCGCTAGATTTTTATCGTAAAGCAATTGATGCATTTAAGGCTTCTCTGGTTCATAACGTAAAAAAAGAATTGTTTGAAGCATATGTAGAATGTGGTGACGTCTATAAAAGGTTAGAAGATATAGACAATGCAGCTGTTTGCTATAAAGAAGCTCAGAATTGTGATCCACAACGCTTCGAAGAAGCTCAGAAATGTGATCCACAATGCTTCGAATTGAGAAAACTTGAAACAGCCGGACAGGATTCTTTGCCAGAGACAACGACGCCGAACTTACCAAAACTAGAGTTTTTTATCCAAGATCCACCGGTAACATCTAGCACTCAGGATTTGACCTATTACCTACAATCTAACAACCATACCGAGGAAGAAGAGCCACAGCTAATAGAATTAGCACTAGAGGTTATTGAACTGTTTGCTCAAAGAAAAGTTAAATCACAAGAGATGATTCATGAAATTATTGCGTTGGCATCTATACCAAATGAAAAAATTTATGTGGAATTATTAAAGCAGAGTATTCAGTCTATCGATGACAAATTGTATCAACCAGAATATCTGTTTTGTTTAATCCAAGTGATTCAAAACATGCCCAAATCGCTCTTTATTACCGGGGAGGTTAGCACAGGGAATTTAGTGTCCATTAAAAACATGCCCAAACCGCTCTTTATTACCGGGGAGGTTAGCACAGGGTATTTAGTGTCCATATTAAAAATATTACGTAGCCATTTAGACTCTGAATATAACGAGGATCAACTCTTCAAACTATTACAAACAATATGTCCATTATTAGATGCCATGGTATGGGTAGGCGTTAAAGATATTAGTCATGAAAATCTGCATGCACCATTGTATCGGCGGCTTAGAGAGCTAAAAGTTAAGCCGGCGTTGGCTTATCATGCCCACTACGCCTGTCAGGCTTTGTTGCATATCCCAAATGATGAAAGTTTATTGAAAGAAGCTATACGTCGAGTTTTTAAAATAGCTACTGGAACTATAAATTTAGTCAACGCATTTAAAAATTTAAATCCAAATGTTCTGCTGGAGGCCCTTGAAAATTTTAGCGAGGCATTTGAGACTTTTGGTGAGATTCCAAATCACTTTCGAGAATTAGTCGAGACGGTTCAAGGATTAAAAGAAGAAATACAAGGAATGATGTCTAAACAAACAAGACAGTGGTATTTTGCTTTGCGATTCATAGATATTTTTATTCAAGGAAATCAGTTTGTTAGACTAGAGCAGTTTATTCGTGAGAGTCCTTGTAGGAAGGATAAATGGTTTTTAATAGGCCTATGTCAACGTTTGGGACAGGTTGCCTGTATACAACAGGATTCAAAAATACAACAAGGGTCAGTTGAGTTTTTAGGTGATCTTTATCAAAACAAAACTCAGTGGGGCGATGATTTGGAAGTTAAAAAATGGGTATTGATAATCTTGCAACAGTTAGCAAAACAAGACGATGAAGATTTAAAAAATAATGCTAAATTAATGATTAATAAAGTAACTTCAGGTGAAGATGTACAAAGCCCTTCCATACACATGCCACTTATAATGTATTCAGTTAGAAAGTTTAATGCACGTTCCGACCTTTTAATTGATGCCCGCGTTAACCTTATGAGAAAACAGAATTTGGCAGAACCGCTGGCGAAGTTACGCAAAGGATATGAAGGTGAACTTGAACAAGACAAAGAGATCAAAGATGCATTAAACATGTATGTGCCACCAAAGGGAAAGTTGATATCGAAAGAGGAATTGTCACTAGAAGGAGAGTTCCGAAAGATCGCAGATATCTCTGACTTAGAGGCTATGGTTGGCTTTCTCTTAGATTCAAAAATAAAGGTCCTGTTACTCTTAGGAGAGGCTGGTGCGGGCAAGTCCACTTTTAACCGTCACCTTGTTCAACGCTTTTGGGATAATTATTCATCAAAAGACAGGTTATGTGATAAACATATTCCCTTATTTATTTCGCTTCCAGCCATAGATAATTCTGATGGAAGAATAATTCAAAATTATTTAAAAAGAATGAACTTTTCTGAGGATATTATCGAATTTTTAAAACAAGCATACAAGTTCGTCTTTATATTTGATGGATATGATGAAATAAAGGACCGTCGATCAAATATTTATGAAAAAAATAATCTCCACGAGTGGAATGCTCAAATTATCATTAGTTGTCGATCGGAGTATCTAAGTATAAACCATAAACTAAAATTTATTCCTGGTCATAATTCCAGTCTTTTTGCGGAAATATGGATAATTCCTTTTTCTAAAGAGGAAATTCAAAAATATATTAACAAGTACGTCAAAAAACAAAAAGATGTCGCACAAAAGATGCAGTGGGATGCACAAAGATATGAAGCCATTTTAGAACGTATTCCTCATTCATATCAATTATTAAGTAACCCCTTTATCTTAAAGATTGCTATGCAAGTCATGCCACACTTAGATCGACAAGAGAATGAGAACTCGGCAAAAAGTGTAACACGTTTAGCCTTATATAATAAGTTCGTGGAAAAATGGTTTGAACGATCCCAAGACCGTTTATGTCGCATCCAATTAAATGAAGATGAAGAAAAGATTTTTAGAGAATTAGATGATGATTTTACGCGACATTGTATACAGTATAACAAAAAATTGGCAGTTGAAATGTTTAAAGCTAATGAAGTAGTGGTAGAGTATTCAGGCGTAGATGAAACAAACTGGGATGAATTCTTTGGGTATAAAGATCCGAAGACACGTCTTTTGTATTACAACTCTCCCTTAAGTCGCAATGATGACCAATATCGATTTATCCACAAATCTTTATTCGAATATTTTGTTGCCCGATCAATCTATGATGAGATTTACAAAAAAGCTAGTTCTACGTTGTTTGAGAAAAATTTAATACTGCGTGATCCCGGGATTGTTCGCTTTTTAAAGGAGTACATACAACAGAATGGAAGTTTCAAAGAGAAGCTTCTTAATCTTATAGAGAATTCGAAAGAAGACATCAATTTCGAAGTCGTTGCAGCAAATGCAATCACAATTCTGAATAAAACTGAGAATACAACAGAGCCGCTAGATGAACTTGAACAAGACAAAGAAATTGAAAATGAATTAGGCTCGTATGTTCCACCAAAGGGAAAGCGGTTCTTATCTTCCACGAACTCTTTTGACTTAGGGCCGAGGTTGAAGTTTTTTTAGCTTCAGAAAAAAGAGTATTATTGCTTGTAGGCGAAGCTGGAGCGGGAAAATCAACCTTCAGCCGTCACATTACACAGAGTCTTTGGGCGGCTTATTCCTCAAAAGATAAGTTAAATAATAAACTTATCCCCTTATTCATTTCTCTTTCAAATATAGATCATTCTAATGAGAGAATAATTCAAAGGTATTTTGGCGAAATGGGCTTTTCTATGGAAATTATTAAAAATTTGAAACAAAGATGCAAGTTCGTTTTTATATTGGATGGATATGATGAAATGAAGGGCCGTCAATCAAATATTTATGATAATAATAGTCTCCACGATTGGAATGCTAAAGTTATCATTAGTTGTCGATCAGAGTATCTAAGTAGAAACTATAGACAAGAATTTATTCCTCATCATAATCTCAATCTTTTTGATAAAATTTGGATAATGCCCTTTTCTATAGAGGATATTCGAAAATATGTTAACAAGCACGCTCAAAAGATGCACTGGGATATGCGAAGTTCTGAAACCGTTTTGAAGCGTATTCCTCATTTATATCAGTTATTAAGCAACCCCTTTATCGCAAAGATCGCTATGGCAGTCATATTAAATTTAGATCGAGAAAACAACAACTGGGCAAAAAATGTAACACGTTTAACTTTATATGATAAGTTTGTGGAAAATTGGTTTGAGCGATCCCAAGCCCGTTTACGTTGCATTCAATTAAAAAAGGATGAAGCAAATGCACTTGAATTCTTAGAATGTGATTTTACACGACGTTATATGCGATTTAACAAAGAAATGGCATGCGAAATGTTTAAGGCCAACGAAGAAGTGGTAGAGTATTCAGACGCAGATGACAAAAACTGGCGTTCCAAATTCTTTGGGTATGAAGATCCGGAGACACGTCTTTTGCGTTACATCTCTCCCTTAAGTCGCAATGGTAACCATTATCAATTTATCCACAAATCTTTATTCGAATATTTTGTTGCCCGATCAATATATGAGGCGATTTGTAAAGAAGATAAGCACAAACTATTTGAAAAAATTTCAATACTACGTTATCCCGGAATCTTTCGTTTTCTAATCGAGTACGTGCAACAGGATGGGGGTTCAAAAGATGTAGGACAGACTAAAAAGTTCAAAGAGGATCTTTTTGACTATATTGAGAAATCGAAAGAAGACACTAATATCGAAGTCGAAGCAGCAAATGCAATCACAATTTTGAATAAAGCTGGAATGTCATTTAGTGGCAAGAATCTAAATGGCATTCACATTTCTGGAGCAGATTTAAGTTACGGCGTGTTTGATCACACTGAATTTAAAGGAGCAAATTTAATCAACGTTAATTTCAAAGGGTCATGGTTACAATATGCAGATTTTAGTGGTGCTAACATGACAGGCGTGCAATTCGGTGAATTTCCTTTTTTAGATCTTGAGAACGGTTGTTTTTGCTGCTGCTATTCCCCGGATGGACGTTCTATTGCCGTTGCTAGTGGAGGAAAAATTTACCTTTACAATGTCGAAACGTTAGAAAAGATACATACTTTGGAAGGACATACTGATCAAGTTTGGTGTGTGACCTTCTCACCTGATGGCACCCAATTGGTATCGTGCAGCTCAGACAAGACGGTGCGGCTGTGGTCGATCGAGAATTTAGATCTGAATCCACACATTATAGAAGGACATACTGATAGGGTTAATAGTGTGACCTTCTCACCTGATGGCACCCAACTGGCATCGTGCAGCTCAGACAATACGGTGCGGCTGTGGTCGATCGAGAATTTAGATCTGAATCCACGCATTCTAGAAGGGCATACTAGTTGGGTCAGGAGTGTGACCTTCTCACCTGATGGCACCCAACTGGCATCGTGCAGCTCAGACAAGACGGTGCGGCTGTGGTTGATCGAGAATTTAGATCCGAATCCACACATTCTAATTGAACATACTGATCAAGTTTTGTGTGTGACCTTCTCATCTGATGGCACTAAACTGGCATCAGGAAGTTGGGATCATGAGGTGCAACTGTGGTCGATCGAGAATTTAGATCTAAATCCACGCATTCTAGATGGACATACTAGTTCCGTTTGGAGTGTGACCTTCTCACCTGATGGCACCAAACTGGCATCGTCCAGCCACGACAAGACGGTGCGGCTGTGGTCTACGGTGTCTGGTAACTGCGTGGCCATTATATACTTTCCCGGAACGGTTTATAGTCTTGATTGGAAGAATACAAAAGCGGGTGATATTTTATTAACGGGTGGTTCTGATAAAGTCATTCGTTTGTGGCATGTAGAAAGAATAGATGATCAAACTTTGCAAGTCGTTTTACATTGGGCGTCAAATCAAAATATATTGTGGTTTCCTAACGCATATATTCAAAACGTGAAAGGTTTGAGTCCAATGAATATGCGCCTTTTAAAGCAAAGAGGTGCCACTGAAGACTCGAAAGTTTAACGAAAATAATCAAGCTTAAGTCGAAATTATTAGTAGTCTTATTTTATGATACTCTAACTAGTTTTATTTGTATTGTATAAATAAACAAATATTTACGCTCACGTAAATTCTACGGTCACCCCAGTTATAAAGTGCACATGACCAAGTCCATAATTAGACTGATTAATGCATTATTAGACTACATCCGTTTACCTTTTATTAAAACAGAGTAATCAATCGACCAGTAAAATCAATAAACCATGAAAACCAATATTATATTAAATTACCCTGTCATAAAATAAAATAAAATAATCCAGGTCAAACGGTTATCTATTCTACTTTGAGAAAGGGAAAAGACTGCCCCTTTATACGATTTATTTGGATCAGGAAACGTGTGAGTTAATTGTTACTTTGAGAACTTATGTATTGACACGACCTAATGCTTAGAATTTTTTCACGCTCTTTATTTTCAATAATTACATGAAAATACTGTATAAGACATGACGTTAATCGTTTTCAATAACTGAACGATCTAGCGTAGAACATTTTTGGTATTGAGAGATTTAGGAATCTCTTTCATTCCTGCTCCAAGTGATCGTCCTACACTCTAAAAATGCCTTTATTTCTACTTGCTTCTACAGATTTTTTGTACGATGAAAGACCTTTTAATACTTGATTTTTTACCAGACAACAAATATAAAATTTTCTCAGTTGAAAATTATAGTATTGTGTTGATTATACTGTATATCGAGTGTTCTTCCACTTTTTAAACGGTCAAACTCTATTTTCTTATGATGTTATTAACAACGAGTCCTCAAACAGTAAATACCGTATCCTTCCGGTTATAAGCACCACCCGGTTATAAGCACCACCCAGTTTTTTTGTAATAGTCTAGCCAAAATATGCGATCGCCATTATTTCATTGGTCATTCTGTTTATATATAAGAACCGCCATCCATTATTTAAAGTGTTTCTAGTATAAATGAAGGGAATAAGTGAATACATGGGTAAGTGAGCGATTAATGAGAACCGAAAAACCTACCGGTGGTTATAGCCTCCTACGAGGGAAATAGACCCTGCCTCAGCGTCGATCAGGAATTGAAGAACCCGTATCTGTTGCCACGAAATATTAATAGACAGCTAAAACCATTCCGACAGTGCCATGTTTCCCGGATCTAGACCTGAGCGAACAAACGAAGAGAAAGAATAGATGAATAAATAGATTAGCGATCTAGACCCTGCCTTAACGTCGATCAAGGATTGAAGAACCCGTACCTGTTACCACGAATATTAACAGATCGCCGAAAACATTCTAAACGGTGCCATGTTTCCCGAATCTAGACCTGAGCAAAGGATATAAGCAAACGAAGAGAAAGGAAAGAGATGGATAAAAAACAGATTAAATGGTAAATAAAAAACTAAGTGAATAGATAAATAATAGATGAGCGATCTAGACCCTCTTCAGCGTTGATTAAAAATTGAAGAACCCGTACCTGTTGCCACAAAATATTGACAGATTGCTGAAACCATTCCAATGGTGCCATGTTTCCCGAATCTAGATTTAAGTGAAGAATATGGATAAATGGGGAGAAAGGAAAGAGATAGGGGAAAAACGGATTGAATGGTGAATAAAGATAAG